CTGGATTTGTAGACTATAAGATAACTTTCAATCTTTGGACTGACTGTAATAAAGTTTCTACTATGACATTATATAAAAAAAAAAAAAAAATTAATAAATATTATAGGTTGATGTTGTATTTTTTACAAATCTCAATTGCCTGTTCTTGCTGATTATAAGCAGCTAACCTCAAAAATTTTTCACCTATTGCCAAATCTTTCTTAACACCATCTCCGTGATAGTAAATATTTCCTATTTTATATATTGCAATTGGATTATTATTATCAGCTGCCTTTCTGTAATATTCTACAGCCTTTGTTACATCCTTGTTTGCTCCTACACTGTTAAATATACAATCTTCAAACTTTAACTGTGCATCTACCATATCATCATCATCTGCTGCCTCTTTAAATAATTGAGCAGCCTGTTTCTTATGTACTTCTCTTTCAGTTTCTAACAAGCCTAGAATGTTATAATGAAGGAAATAGGCCTTCCAATACTTTGCAGTAAGGTCGCCTATCTTTGTATACGTATCAAAACATTTCCAAGCATTTAATTTATTACTATTACTTTTATTAAATTCATTGATTGCTTCTTCAACAGTCATGTCACCAAGTTCATCAAAATTTAAAAAAGTTTCAGACTCTTGATTATGAAGTTCATCAGTCGGATTAACGCTTGTATTTAATAGGTTAAATTTTTGTTCGCTTAACTCTTGAATAGTTAAAAATATGTTGGCAAAAAATGGTCGACATTCTGGATTTTGATGGCACGCTTTTATTTCAAAACAAATTAATGATGTAAAATTGATCAAATTAATAGAATAATCAAATTATAAATTCAAGTAAAATAATCAAATATTCAATTAAAACCTTTTACTAAATTTTTCATTCTTGAGGTACTCCACCGTTAGAAAACTTTTCACAATATTGTTCTTTAGTAATCTTTTCACAAATTTTTGAAATATTCATTTCATCCTCATATAGAAGCTTTAATTCTGCAATCTCCCAAAGAAGCATACCAAAACTATCATAAAAAAATTTCAATAAATTTAATCTTGAAATTTAATCTTGGATACTAAAAATCATAATCAAAATAAAAAATTAGTTATTGTTATTAAAAAATATAATATTTACCTATACACCTCGCATTTAATATCGTATTTGTGTTTAAAATCAAGCAATCTCTCTGAAGCTATATATCGAATATTTTGAAAACTTAAGTTAACAGTTCTGGTAGCATCAACAAATTCTCTACTTAATCCAAAATATGCAATCTTTGCATGTTTGTCGATAGTGATTAAAATGTTCTCCGATCTTATATCATAATGCAGGATCTTTACTGATACTAAAAAATTCAATCTGCGTGCCACATCGAGCGCAAATTTCGATTTATATCAAAATCCAAATTAAATTTCTTATAATATTCTTTCAGGTTTCCAAATTCTGCCCATTCTATTACTAAATACTGTATGTTTTTTTCTTTAGCCACACCAAAAAACTTTATAATTTCAGGACAACACTTTATATGTTTTAAAATTGATACTTCAGTATTATGTATATCAGCAGAATTTAGTATTTTTTTGAAAGCAAATTCAAAACTGTCAACTTTTCAGGTTCATTTTACTACATTTCCATGAAAATTTTCTGGAGAATTATAATCATCTATTTTTAAAAAATCACTGCAGATTATATCGATGATTTGAGATTGATCATTATGGTACATTTTTTGTTGTTTTTCAAAAATATTTTTAAGTGCAAAAATCTCGCTAATATTATTATTAATTTTATGATCCGGATCCGTAATACTACCCAATTTTATCCAAGTACTAATAAAAGATATAAACAAACTTGAAGTCAGTAAACAAGTTATTACTTTTAGGAAAAAATGTATTATTAATCACCTTTTTAAAGGATTCTGTGTCTTTTTTTAGAGCCTCATTATCTTTTTCTGTCTGAAATTGATTTTCATTAGAAATCGAAAAATTAAAATCTTTCATATGTCTGTCAAAAGCGAATTTTAATTTTTGAAAATTTTGATCAACAGTCCCAGAATGTAGGTGCTTTTGAAGTCCAGTGATTTGCGAGATTTCACTAGTAAAATTTCTAATTAGTTTAACTGTGTTGACGAATTCTCTAAATGCTATAAAATTTCTTTTAAAAAAGGTTAAGTTGTTATCTTGCTTTAATGATTCCTGAATCACTTCTTCTGCCTTTTCAACCTGAATGAGAGTTAGTTATAGAGAGTATCGTAAGTTAAGCACAATATATATATAAAATAGATACTATATAAAAGTATTAACTCTGTCTAATAGGGCATCACACGTCTGCTTGTAATGTTCCGCAATTATATAAATGTCTTTATTTTCTTTATATGCATCAAAAAATTCCTTAATAATTGGATTAAATTTAGAAAGAAATCTCACATTTGCCGATTTTAAATTCGGATCAGCATCAATTTTTGCCTTTATTGAAATTTTTGAAGAGCAAAATTAAGCTTTCTATTATTTATAAGTATAAAATTTAAATTATAGAAAAAATCTTAATAATACCTTTTAATAGATTTGATTTTAGTATTATTCTCAATAAATTCAATAGATTTATCTGACGATAAACTTTCGAATTCTTTTAAAATTAGATCCAATATTGGACATTGGTCGGGGTTACTGGACCAGCATTTACAATAAAGATTAATATAATTAATGGGTGTATTATTGTTTATAGATATCTCTTTCATGCCTTTTATAATATCTATAATAATTTTATGTATCGGTGCATAATCTTTAAATGGAGGAGTTCCACTTGTGAGTTCCCAGAGTAGTACTCCTAGACTATAAATATCAGATTCTTTATTATATTTGTACTTTAGATTTTTAAGTTTTAGTGGGTCAATGTAAAAAATTATTCCATGGAGTCCATTATTTAAAGTGGCAAAACTATTCAAATGTTTTGATATTCCAAAGTCTGAAATTAAAGCTCTACCATGATCTATCAGAATATTTCCAGGATGCTAATAAAGTTTATAAATATAGTATTGTGACTTTTATAGGCCAGGAATAAGAATAATAATAGATAATAAACTTACTAAATCACGATGAATTATGTCACAATCGTGTAAATATTTTAATCCACAGGTAATTCCCTTTGCAATGGTAAGAAGTTCATTCCAATGAATCTTATAAAGAGCTCCTATTTTTTTTCTTTGTAAATAGTGTCGCAAGTTACCATCACTTGCAAGTTGCAATACAATCATGAAATTATCATGTAAATCTTAATTGTAATGTTAAAAGTTAGATTATATAACGATTAGGAGATATTGATAAATATAAAGATAACAGATAAACCTAATTTTTTTAATTGCTGATCCAGCACAATTTCAATATTAGAATTATCTGGATCATCAAATTAAATTAAATATACCTGTTGAAAATCCATATAATTTGTTAATATTTGAATGATTAATCATATATAGAAACGTAATCTGCATGCAATTTTATTATACAGTCGTCCTCCCATACAATCACCTCCTATACAATCACAAACTCTATATAATCACACAATTTTTACGGTTGTTTTTTTTAATATTAAAAATACCTTTATATAATCACAATCATAATACTATCACTATCACATTTTTTAAAAAAG